GGGGTCTGCTCCGGCGATTGGTGGCTGTTGGGGGTGCTTTGGTGCAGCCTCCTGAAGGCTGAGGTGTAGCCGGGGGGATGCTCTGCCTTGCGCAACACGAGCTCAGGGGATAGAGCACTTCCGACCAGAGACATTCCAGATCTCTGAAAAATACCCATTGCTGGGCTGCGTGGAGGATAAACCCGTGGCTTGTGACCTGGCTGAGCTATCTGGGGCTCGTATTGATCCACAGCCCGTGTTAGCCTTAAAATGAACTGCTGGTGAGGAGCAGGCTGATGGCAGTCCTGCAGCGCGACAAGGGGATGGGCTTGCTGATGGTGAGAGTGGTGCTGCAATCCTGCCTTCTGTTTTGTGGCCAGTGTTTGGAAGAGAACAAAAAAGTCTGGAGAGGAGGGAGACAGAACAGACTTGTTATTCAAGTGCTGGAGAAAATAGTTGATCTATAAAGGGTGCAAAACACATGAATTTTTAAAGAGCTGTAGAGGCATCTTCGTTGCAGGGTGGAAGTCTCAGGAGAACGCAACTGATGCTAAGGATCATTGTAATGCCCTTGAAAAGGATGAATTGGAATGAATGGAAAGTGAAGCCAGACATATTCTGATTAGAAATGAAAGCCTTATTTTGAATAATGAGAATAATTAACTGCTGTGAGAAGCTCATGAGAGAAACAGTAGACTTTCCAACAGTGACTATACCCGTATCTACATGCCCATGTGGAGAGTGGAAGGTATTGAGTTCAAAGCTGTTTTTTCAGTGAGATCTTTGGCTTCCAGAGTGGTGGAGGACCGAGAAGCAGTCTGCACGCCTGCTTTGGCATCCAGCTCTACACATGTGCATGCTTGCAATGTGATGATTTGTGCTATTTCTGAGATGGCCCTGCCCATTCTCTTTGGAAAGGCTCTTTTAAGCAAGAATAGATGCTGCTGGCACTTTGAGCCCACATACCTCATCTTCCCTAGTGCTTGGTGATGAGACCAGTTGGCAGCCACAGTGCCTGTCCTACCTCTTTCC